ACCGGAAACATAATACATGTGTGAATACATAGACAAACAGAGTGTCACTAGTATGCCTCTATTTGACTAGCTCGTTGATCGAAGATGGTTATGTTTCCTAGCCATAGACATGAGTTGTCATTTGATTAACGGGATCACATCATTAGGAGAATGATGTGATTGACTTGACCCATTTCATTAGCTTAGCACTTGATCGTTTAGTTTGTTGCTATTGCTTTCTTCATAACTTATACATGTTCCTATGACTATGAGATTATGCATCTCCCGTTTACCGGAGGAACACTTTGTGTGCTACCAAACGTCACATCGTAACTGGGTGATTATAAAGGTGCTCTACAGGTGTCTCCGAAGGTACTTGTTGGGTTGGCGTATTTCGAGATTAGGATTTGTCACTCCGATTGTCGGAGAGGTATCTCTGGGCCCTCTCGTTAATGCACATCACTTAAGCCTTGCAAGAAATGTAACTAATAAGTTAGTTGCAAGATGATGTATTACAGAACGAGTAAAGAGACTTGCCGGTAACGAGATTGAACTAGGTATTGAGATACCGACGATCGAATCTCGGGCAAGTAACATACCGATGACAAAGGGAACAAACATATGTTGTTATGCGGTCTGACCGATAAAGATCTTCGTAGAATATGTAGGAGCCAATATGAGCATCCAGGTTCCACTATTGGTTATTGACCGGAAACGTGTCTCGGTCATGTCTACATTGTTCTTGAACCCGTAGGGTCCGCACGCTTAACGTTACGATGACAGTTTCATTATGAGTTTATATATTTTGATGTACCGAAGGTTGTTCGGAGTCCCGAATGTGATCACGGACTTGACGAGGAGTCTCGAAATGGTCGAGACATAAAGATCGATATATTGGACGACTATATTTGGACACCGGAAAGGTTCCGGGTGAGATTGGGACAATACCGGATCACCGAGAGGTTATCGAAACCCCCCAAGAGGTATATGGGCCTTATTGGGCCTTAGTGGAAAGGAGGGGAAAGGAGCAAGGGAGGGGGCGCCCCCCCAAGCCCAATCCGAATTGGGAAGGGGGCCGCCCCCCTTTCCTTCCTCCATCCTTCCTCTTCCTTCCCTCTCCTACTCCTAATAGGAAAAAGGGGAGTCCTACTCCCTGTGGCAGTTGGACTCCCCCCTAGGGCGCGCCACCCTCCTTGGTCGGCTCCCTCCTCCACTCCTTTATATACGGGGGCGGGGGGGGGGGGCACCCCATGGACACAACAATTGATCATTGATCTCTTAGCCGTGTGCGGTGCCCCCCCTCCACCATAATCCTCGATAATATTGTAGCGGTGCTTAGGCGAAGCCCTGCGACGGTAGAACATCAAGATCGTCACCACGCCGTCGTGCTGACGGAACTCTTCCCCAACACTTTGCTGGATCGGAGTCCGGGGATCGTCATCGAGCTGAACGTGTGCTAGAACTCGGAGGTGCCGTAGTTTCAGTGCTTGATCGGTCGGGTCGTGAAGACGTATGACTACATCAACCGCGTTGTGCTAATGCTTCCGCTTCCGGTCTACGAGGGTACGTAGACAACACTCTCCCCTCTCGTTGCTATGCATCACCATGATCTTGCGTGTGCGTAGGAAAATTTTGAAATTACTACGTTCCCCAACACACACTTCCATTCCTTTTGCCACACGATATATGTTGTCGAGCTCAAGGCGAGTCTGTCATCCTTGTGCTAGCCCGACCTCTTTCTCGTTCCAGTGATGCCGACCACAAACCGGATTATCTCATAATCCTTGTCGCATGGCCATGCTTATCCTGGTCGGATCACACGAGGGGCCCAGAGTATATCTCTCCTAATCGGAGGGGCAAATCCCATCTTGCTCGACCACGTCTCGCAGCATGGTTCTAGACAAACCCGAAACCTACCTTTATAACTACCCAGTTACGGAGTAGCGTTTGGTCGGCCCAAAGCAAGTCTGTCACCATCCCGAGTACATGCGTCAGCTCAGGTCTTAGAACATAGAACATATGTTGTACTAGAGACTCACAGATGACATATCGCTGCGTCTCATAGTTGGGTTTGTCCGACTTGGACCTTATCTCGACTCGGATCCGACTATGTCGAATCCGACCAGATCCTTCCAAGTCCATATTATCCGGTTAGCATCCAATGCTCCATGGCTAGTGAGACCAAGCCATCGACCATGTCATATGCTAGTCTAATTGGCTGCGCGTCCACACAACCCTTTCGACTAGGGACCTTTTAGGACAATCATCATACAATGCATAGTCCCATAAACAAGTCACGTACTTGCTGACACACATCGTTGATAATGTCCAAGGACTATCTTTATTCATAAACACATAGGAAATATCATCATACATGATTGCCTCTAGGGCATATCTCCAACACTTGATACTTTAATGCTATGGTTGGGTTTTACCTTAATGATCTTTAGTAGTTGCGGATGCTTGCTAGAGGTGCATATGATCCAAGTAGAGAAAGTATGTTAGCTTATGTCTCTCCCTCAAATAAAATTACAATAATGATTATCGGTCTAGTTATCGATTGCCTAGGGACAAATAACTTTCTCGTAACAAAAAGCTCTTTACTAAAATTAACTTAGTTGTGTCTTTATCTAAACAGTCCCTACTTTTTATTTACATGCTCTTTATTATCTTGCAAACCTATCCAAAAACACCTACATAATACTTCTAGTTTCATACTTATTCTGGGTAAAGCGAACGTTAAGCGTGCGTAGAGTTGTATCGATGGTCGATAGAATTTGAGGGAATATTTGTTCTATCTTTAATTCCTCGTTGGGTTCGGCACTCTTACTTATCTAAAGAGGCTACAATTGATCCCCTATACTTGTGGGTTATCAGGACGCACTCTCCCCGCTCGTTGCTATGCTTCTCCTAGATAGATCTTGCGTGATTGTAGGCAATTTTTTTGAAATACTACGTTCCCCAACAGATGGAATATGTTATGAAGATGTGTTTACCTTTTTTTGTGGAGGGTAATCTATTCATGTGGTGTGTTCTACAAATAATAGAAATAAACCTCACACAATTCCATCATGTATGAGCCCACATATATGGAAATATATGGTTAGCACATTGGGACGGTGTAGGCCTATGTATGTTGCGTTTGAGTCTAAGCCCACATTACCAAAAACTTGGCTGGGGTTCGTTTGTACATCTAACCAAGATTACAAGAATGCATTGGCAGTGGGAGGAGGGGAACTGACAAGCCAAAAAAATGAAGACCTTTTGAATATCACAGAAAATTTGAGATACATATTGTTATGATTATAAATAGTTTAGACACATAATATATACTACATGACTAGTCTCCAAACGAGCATCACTTAGTGAGAATTTGTGGGACCACTAAATTATCCTCGATATCAACCAATTCCGTGTGTGTGGTCCGAGGGGATGTGCTCACATATGAATGTATATGTATGATGGTCCACATGCATGTGTGTATATTTCATTTTTTAACTATAGGAGAAGCCCCCACAATATAATTAGGCATGTAAGAGACCTGAACTCTCGGGGTGAACTTATACATCCACTTCTCTAATTAAGTGAGCTGGGTTACAATTTTATCATGAAAGACATGGCATGTTTAGTTGTTTGGCATATTTTAGTTGAATGTATACTTCTAAAAATGCGGACGAAGAAATTGGTTGTGCGGTCATTGGTAAGGTATGAAACCATGTAAATGGATACAATGTAACACACTATCATAGGTTTCCAACCTTCCTCATTGAGTTTAAAGAAGCATGGATATGTGTCATCACATGCCCTAAATCATGAGTTGGTATGTTGAATCACAATAAATTCCGATGGTGTGGATCAACCATGCGTAGCTTAGTGTTTGCTTGTGTTGGCTAGTCGTGTTTCTATGAGAATGCACCCTGAACTTCTTAAACTATCACCACTATTCACTCATGCCTCGCTTAACTTTTGTGTGTGTCAGATTTCTCTAAATTTGCGTCTGTCTATCACACAGTTTTATTTTTATCGTTAGACTAACACATGCTATCAGGTGGACACCATGACATGGCAAAGCAAGCGCACCCATGTCGCCCGACGCCCTTTACGTTACTGTAATGGTTAAAGGAAGGTTTGGGAAAAAAAAAGTCAAGTTGAGGAAAACCCAATGAAAAGAAGACAAGTAAGAGAGCCAGACGAGATAATGGCAATATACTGAGGTTATTTTGCGGTGGTAATAAGTTACAATGCATCAATCCACCTAATTTTTTTACGATGAATTAATCTCAGTTATTTTTTCTAACCCCGCAAGACTAAAGACATATTTGTTGCATTATGATTGAATAAACATACCGGGACTCGGTGTAATAAGAATTATTTGTAAATCCGTCACACTCATCTTCCCCATGGCTGGTTTAGAGAATAATCTCTTCACAACAACATCCGCAGACATACATCGGTTGCCACACTACAACATCCGCCTATCCAAAATGCACTTCATCTGCATCTACAAAATTCGGCCTCCACATCCACCACCAAAGCATCACCCACTAGCCAGGAAAGCACATTATATTCAGACAAGCTTAGCCCCTTATCTCCTATCACAAGACCCAACTTACAACTTAACAAAGCCCCATGTCAGTCAGTATGCCTAATAACAATAACATTTCCCAGCCATAGAGAACGGGCAGAACCATCAGAAAAGCAACACGCCTCACACCCCCACTTGATCAAAAGTCCGCTCACGGCTCACTCGGCTCGGCTTCGTCTCTTATTCCAAAGCCATTTGTTGGGCTCGCGAGAAAAGCCGCAGTCGGAATAAAGTTGGTTAAGCGCAAGCGCGCGCGCGCCAATATTAATCGGCCCCCTCCCCCTCCACTTCCCCCCAACCCCCGGCCCTTTTACCCGCCTCCCCACCTTTGCCTCCCACCGCCCGCCCTCCTGCTCCCTCCCACTCCACTCGCAGGCCCCCGCCCGCCGCGCACCGAGAGAGGAAGGAGGGGGGCTCGGCGCGGCGCGGCGCGGCCATGGCCGACGCGTCCGCCTTCCCCTACGGGCTGCGCGTCCTCGTCGTCGACGACGACCCCACCTGGCTCAAGATACTCGAGAAGATGCTCCGCAAGTGCTCCTACGAAGGTTCGAATCTTCGCCTGCTTTCCTCCTCGGGTTCCCGATCGGCTTGGCGTGGCGGCTACGCCGTCGCCTCCCCATATGCATCCGTCCGTCGCCCATGCGTGCCTGCTGCTTGTTTAAATTACCCAGCGAAATCGGTTGAGAGTTGAGACTAATCGCTATAATTAAATTATTGTGTGCGTGTGCGTGTGCGTTCTGGGATTGAAGTGGACTTTTCGGACCTTGTCGATCGAATTTAGGCTGTCTGGGGAACTTTCTTTCATAGATTTGTATCATCCAGCGGTTTGCCCGCTTTTGGATTCCCCTTTTGTGTCTGTTTTTGCTTGTGTGTGTATGTGACTGGTTGGTGTCAACCGTGAGTGACTGAGTGCGAGCAGCAGAGGCCTTGTCCATCAAACCCTTTTTGGCTAAAAAATTTGTATAGCGAACAACATATGCATTTCGAGTCTGTGTCCACTTTTATGTGATGATGATTGCTCAATAATTCAGATGGATATCTTTTTCTCCGCAGAGGGGTTGGTATCACTGCTGAATCAGTTTTGTTTCTTTGAGGTGCTGCGTAATTTGCTTTTGAGGCAACTCCTGTGTAATTTACCAGGAACCACACATTAAAATTCAGAGCGTGTAGTTACTTCCGACGATATCTTCTTTGCGGCCTTTCACCATTTAGGTGTTATATTTCCGTGACACCAGTGACTGGGGACTTTGAGGGCTATGTAGAAAATTCAGTTTTAACATACAGTACTTACCTGTCCTTTTGGTAGACCTATTGCCAATCATCACCTACTGAGTGGTCAGTGTTCTTAACTAACTTAACTACCAATCTATTAGCCTCTCTGTTTTGTGTTTTGCGCCAGCGCAGAAACCATTTTTATGCCTCCCTATTTATGTTAATAGTCATGATTTTTGTGTGATGAATGATGATGAGTTATCTGTTTATCAGTTAGACTAAACTAGTTATCTACCTGCAGTTACCACATGCGGCCTAGCTAGAGTTGCTCTTGAAATTCTCCGGGAGAGGAAAAACAGGTTCGACATTGTGATTAGTGATGTCAACATGCCAGATATGGATGGCTTCAAGCTTCTTGAACACATTGGACTTGAGATGGATCTGCCTGTTATAAGTTAGTATCCAACACCAAACCCCTGCAATTTTCAAAGAAGAAATGATATTTTTATTCAGTTTGAATATCTACTCAAAACTGCCAAACTGCTCCATTCTGTTTTCACAGTGATGTCCATTGATGGGGAGACAAGTAGGGTGATGAAAGGTGTGCAGCATGGTGCTTGCGATTACCTCCTTAAGCCTGTTCGGATGAAGGAACTCCGGAACATTTGGCAACATGTATACAGGAAGAAAATGCACGAGGTTAAAGAGATCGAAGGTCATGATAGCTGTGATGATCTCCAGATACTAAGATATGGTTTCGAGGGATTTGATGAGAAGGGCCTATTTATGACAGTTGATTCCGATCCCACGAGGAAGAGAAAAGACATGGACCACGGAGATCAGGACTCCAGTGACGGTGCTACTGCTAAGAAGGCTAGAGTAGTCTGGTCTGTTGATCTGCATCAGAAGTTTGTAAATGCTGTGAACCAAATTGGATTCGACAGTGAGTGCTCTCTGAAATATCAGTTACCTTCCTATATATTTATCAGTTACCTTCCTATAAATTTATCAAATCAGCATGATCCTCATTCCAAAAGAGCAATGCCGTCATTTTGCAGAAGTGGGGCCGAAGAAAATATTGGACCTGATGAACGTGCCGGGCTTAACAAGAGAGAATGTTGCTAGCCATCTTCAGGTATGACATGATGTTCAAATGGCAAATTTCTATGGTCTCTTTTCTTGAAAAAGGAACCGAGTTCATAAAGAGGGCGTTAAATCAGATTTTTAATAAAATCAAGAAAGTTTGTATACAGGACACACTAAATTCAGATAACTGCACCATGACTTTTCTCCAACTCCCTATACCTGGTGTGTCATGACAAATTTGGGCAACTTTGAAACTCACAAATCAGGCGTATGAATAGCAGTAAAATTGGAATTTATAATCTGATGCAGGTAGTTTCTCGTGCAATAAAGGATCACCTTTTTAAAATAACACAAGATCACCTTTGTCAGAGTTCCCCCTAGAAGTAAGTGAAAGGAGATTCTTGGTTCAGTAAATGACACAAAAAGGGATGTTATGGTGTTGCAATGAGTTCCCGCCATGTGCATTCTTTCCCTGTGCCATGTTCATGGGTTATGACAAAGCTCCTATTTGATCATTGGTCGAGCTACTGTAGGAACATATACTTTCTGAGTAGCTCCCTTGCAAAAATACTTTTTTGCAGTTTATATTAACCTGAATCCTTACCTTTAACTGTCAAATATCACATACTCAAAATGCATACAAATTCATGTGAATTCTGAAGCACTTACCCAACACTCTAGAATTCAGGTAAAATCATTGTATTCCTGAAAACTAAGGAATGGTTTTCTAGTATTCATCAGAAGAAAATTCGTTGTTAATGCAGAAATATCGCCTATACTTGGGGAGGCTGCAAAAGCAGAATGAGGAAAGGATATTGGGCTCTGGCAGGCAAGATTTCAGCACTAAGGGACCATCATCAGAGAACCTTAACCTCAGAAGCTCCTTCCAAGAGCAACCAAGCAACACTTCCAGTGGATATCCGCATGCTTCCCAGAAGATACAAGGCCAGAGCAGTTTGTCAGATTCTCAGTTAGAAGAAACCAAGCGCACGGTCCCCTTACCGGCGCCAGATAGAAGCATGAATTCTGTAAGTTCAGCTGCCGAACCTCAGAATGTCGCCGGTGTTTCACCAATAGGCGGCGTGCTGTCGTTCAAAGGTTTGCCAGTGAATCAGGACAGGAAGCCATCAGAAACCATGATACTGGAATGCCAGGCCTGGACTGGAGGAGTGCCAGCAAAGCAGTTCATGCAGTACCCAAAGCACAACCATGCACGCTGCGACTTGTTAGGGGATTATGCATGCCTACCAAAGCCAGACTTGGAACACCCCACTGCTCCTGGCCATTTGTTTACCCCACCGCCGCTTATCTCAATGAGTTGCAGTACGGAGATGGACGCCAGAAACTTCTCAGATGTGAAGCCAGCCCTTCTTGACTGCATCAAGTCCTTCTCCCCGGCGTTGACATGTACAGCTGATTCGGTTTCTGTTCAGATCAGTGACAGTGTTGTGACCGCAACCAATGCTGCTGACCGGAAGTTTTCCAGTGTGGAAGGTTTGCCTAGCACTAAAGATTGTTACTTCGGCCAGACGAGCAACCAAGGCTCCTGGCTTCGTTCGCAAGAGGAGCCAAACATCATATGCGGGGCGGATTTTGCTTCTCTGCCCGAGGATCTCCCCGGCTACCCACTTCAAGGAGGTCTCTCCTTTGAGAATGTAGGGCTGAGTAGCATTGATTTGTTTCACTACAACGACGCGATGATACTATCTGGGCTACAAAGTAACTGGTATGATGATCAAGACCACTTCAGCAGCGAAACGACGGACTACCCGTTGATGGATGGATGCCTCTTTGCATAATCCCCCTTCTGTTCGGCCATGCCGTTTTGCGAGGAGAGGATGGTGTTGTTTGGTATGTCTCCATATAGCACCTCTTGTAGGGCTGCAGTGTTCTAACTTGATCCTTTGGTGGAAGGATCTAATTGTAGTAACTCCACTTTTGATAAAAATGTCTGTATTATAGACCGTGGCATGGTATAATCTATAAATACTCTTCGAGGATCTCTCAAAGTATATATATGGAGACTGTCGAATATTTGCTTTCAGAGCCAGCACTGCTGTAGATTTTCGCTCTGATGCAGCATTGCAGACTGTGTTTGCTATTGCCATTGCACATCACAGGCAAACATAACTTCTACTCCCTCCGTCCCACAAACGATCTTATATTGTGGGACGGAGAAGTTACTACTGATCTAACACAAAAGAATTTCTTGGGTGGGGTAGCGGTTAGTAGACTTTGATGCAGTATGATACAAACCAAAACTAATCTAGCATCTGCAAAGATGAATGAAACAGTAGAGTTGCAATCATAACCAGTTTGCATCACAATTGCACTGGAACTCACTTGCTGCTGCACCAGCTGAACTGTCTGCCTCCGGCCAATCTGAGCGTGCTTCCATTTGACTCTGTTGTGATGCCAAAAGTATGAACACTCCGGAGTGAATTTCGGTGACTGAGAAAATCATGTAAATTATACCCAAATTAGTGTGATTATTATTTGTTAAACACCCCGTTTATCGGTTGATTTATGTAAGGCGTCCACAAGTTTCAAGGTTTACGCATTGGCCGACAACTAGATTTTTACTACTACCTCTGTCTCAAAATGTTAGTGGGCAAAAATGCCTTACATTTTAAGACAGAGGGAGTATTTAATAAAAACAATTTTGCTACCGTAGTGATTTTGTAACTGCGAACAGGGTGTAGTATTATCACACAAGCTTTGAACCTTACCCAAGACCAGCACTGCCTTTTGACTTTTTAGGGGGTTTACGTAAACCGGCCCGGTTGGCGTACTCCTGAGCACCCGTCGCCTTCCGTCAGTACACGAATCCTTCAGGCCTTCAGGGTCAGAGGCTCGGACACAAAGCAGCGAGAAAACGAAGGTAGGATCCGGGCGCGAGATCCGCCACCCCACCACCAATGGCGGCGGCCGCGCTCCTCCTCCTCCTGCTGCTGTGGCCGGCCGTGGTGTATGCCTCCGGGGAGGGGCGGCGGCTGCACACGCTCTTCTCGGTGGAGTGCGGCGACTACTTCGACTGGCAGGCGGTGGGGCTCCTCCACAGCCTGCGCAAGGCGGGGCAGCCCGGCGGCGTCACCCGCCTCCTCAGCTGCGCCCCCGACCAGCTCCCCTCCTACCGCGGCCTCCGCATCGGCCACACTCTCCAGGTCCCCTCCTACAGCCGCCACCCCCGCACCGGCGACTGGTAGGTAACTCTCGTCGCCGCACGCACATTCAGCACGCATGCTCCTCTCCTCCTCGTTCCCCATTTGTTCCACTTTACCCTGCGCCCGGCCGAAGCTGAAACTTCTGGGGTTAGGATTTGAGACGGACTGAGAAATTAGTTGCGGACTGCTTCTGCATTTGGAATTTATAACGCTTGATTTGGGTGAGGTGCTTGATTTGGCAGGCCCTTCTTGGAGTGAACTGATTGGGGCATGGATGAATATGAATACGAGCTTCGAAGATTTCCTCATTTGGAATGAAAGTGACCTTGGTGTTCATTTTCCGTGTGCAGGTACCCAGCCATCAACAAGCCTGCAGGGGTGGTACATTGGTTGGAGCACAGCCCAGAGGCGGACAACGTCGATTGGGTCGTGATCTTGGATGCAGACCAGATTGTTAGAGGCCCGATTATCCCTTGGGAACTCGGAGCAGAAAAAGGCAAGCCTGTTGCAGCTTATTATGGGTATGGTTTCAGTCAGCAATTTAGAATTGATGATCCTTCTGTCCATTTTCTGCTTAGTATGGTAATGTGGAATTGGGCGATGGTAGTAAAATTAGTTACTGAAATAGTGCTGTACCACATCAATAGTTTAGACATTGGTGACTCATCCTTCCTCGCAGAGCATACCTTTTGTACTGAGTGTCACTTGTTAACTCAGGTTCATATCATTGTCTGACTGGAAGTCTGGAACTCAGCCTCCGATTTATCTTATTTACGTATTCTCTTAACTAGGTATTTGAAGGGTTGTGATAACATCCTTGCACAGTTGCACACTGCACATCCAGAATTTTGTGACAAAGTTGGTGGAATTCTGATCATGCATATCGATGACTTAAGAGCTCTAGCCCCTCTGTGGCTGTCAAAAACTGAAGAAGTGAGGCAAGATAAGTCCCACTGGTCAACTAATATTACTGGTGATATATATGGCATGGGGTGGATCAGTGAGATGTATGGGTACTCATTTGGCGCTGCAGAAGTAAGCTCGATTACTCTTCTTCACTGTATTATGCATTGTGAAAGCAAATATTTCCCGAGTATATTTTATGTGGTTTTACGTATTACCTTCATTGTATAATACTATAATCCTCTTTGACAGGTAGGTCTAAGACACAAGATAAATGATGACATAATGATCTACCCAGGCTATACTCCAAGAATTGGCACTGAGCCACTTATCCTGCACTATGGTTTGCCATTTAAAGTTGGAAATTGGTCCTTCAGCAAGTTAGAACACCATGAGGATGGTATAGTTTATGACTGCAACCGCTTATTTCCTCCACCTCCATTCCCTAGAGAGGTAAACAGTCTTCCTAACCATATTTTGGGATGTTCTCACTGGTAGGCAGTGGTTAGCTATGCTGTATGTGACTATTTAATGTTACTAACTTTATATAGGTTGAGGTGATGGAATCTGACCCAAATGTGAAACGGGCCTTATATCTAAGCATCGAGTGCATTAACACATTGAACGAAGGGCTTCTTTTGCATCACACATCTGTTGGCTGCCCGAAACCACAGTGGTCAAAATACTTGAGCTTCCTTAAAAGCAAAAGGTTCTCAGAGCTTACAAAACCAAAGTACTGGAACAGTCTAAAAGTTGAAAACAAATTGACTGTACAGCATGTTGCATTGTCCAAAAGCAGACATCCAAAAATACACACCCTTTTCTCAACCGAATGTTCGTCGTATTTTGACTGGCAAACTGTTGGGCTCATGCACAGCTTTCGTATAAGCGGTCAGCCTGGTAATATTACACGCTTATTGAGTTGTACAGACGAGGAATTGAAGAATTACAAGGGCCGTGACCTTGCTCCCACACATTATGTTCCATCTATGAACAGACACCCACTGACAGGGGACTGGTATAAACTTCTGGCTTAATAATGCGCTCAAAACTTTTGCTCGGTACGTAATCTTTTACTTGTTCTTCTTAGGTACCCAGCAATTAATAAACCAGCAGCAGTTCTCCATTGGATTAACCATGTGCAGACTGATGCTGAGTTCATTGTTATCTTGGATGCTGATATGATCATGAGAGGTCCCATCACTCCATGGGAGTATGGTGCAAAACTTGGTCATCCTGTTTCAACTCCCTATGAGTAAGATTCTTATGTGGCGCTGTGTAATTTGCAGCATGTGTTGCTGTGGTTTAGTGATATTACAGTTCCTGTTTACCAGATATGTTGAGAGGTGCTTCTATGCATCGACTCCATGCTGAGTTTGCACAAATCTTAGTGCACATCTAAGAGTTCGTTGAACCAACTTACCTCTTGCGTACTTCAAGATTTGTGCAAGTCTCATTGCAAAGTTGAGGCAGTGATGCATGTAATTACTGCATATGAGAGAACCATGTACTAATATCATCCTTTCTGTTTGTCAGTTATCTCATTGGGTGCGATAACATACTTGCAAAGATACACACTCGCAATCCATCTGCATGCGAAAAGGTTGGTGGTGTCATTATCATGCATATTGATGATCTCCGACGTTTTGCTATGCTGTGGCTGCACAAATCAGAAGAGGTTCGTGCAGACAAAGATCACTATGCGACAAACATTACTGGTGATATATATGCCTCTGGCTGGATAAGTGAGATGTATGGTTACTCTTTTGCAGCAGCCGAGGTATGTGTAGTGGTTTATCTTTTCCCCTTTTGTCCTTGCAACTGCAAGCATATGTCTGCAACTGGCTGCATCGCATTAGAACTTACTGGCTATATTGAATCATTTTAAAACCTGTAGATGTTTACATCAATGCAAATATGGTGCTTGTAACTGCTAGAGATAGTCTATGGAAAGCGTGCGCTAATAAGTTCTAGAAAGCTAGCATGGTTAGCTTCAGTTGGCAGTTAGATCTCTCGGTGTCAGTAGAAGTTCGAAAGCTAGTATGGATAGCACCAGCTGGCAGTTAGCATTCATAAGTTCTAGAAATCTAGTATAGACGATGAACTATAAGGGCTATGATCTTGTCCTTCTCTGCAAAATTGGTTTATCTTGCTGCTTGACAGTTTCTTCTTCACTTGTCATGCAGCTTAACCTGCGACACATCATAAGGAGTGACATATTAATATATCCAGGCTATGTTCCTCTGCCTGGAGTAAATTACAAGGTTTTCCATTATGGGCTGAGATTTGGTGTTGGTGATTGGAGCTTTGACAAGGCAGACTGGAGAAACGCTGATATTGTAAACACATGTTGGGCCAAGTTCCCTGAACCACCTGATCCATCTGCTATCACGAAAGGCGATCAAAATGCACGGGAGAGGGATCTTCTCAGCATCGAGTGTGGCAAGGCTTTGAACAAGGCCCTATACTTGCACCACAAACGCCGAAATTGCCCTCGACTAAGCACCACCATAGGCAGCATCTCGAAGAAAATTGAGGAAGTTTTAACCTCCAATAAATCAGAGAGAGTTACACAACGGTCGTCCACAACTACAATTGGACGAAATGTGGAGCACATGGATGTGACCAGGCAGCAGGCTGTTGAAAGAGCCACAGACACTGTATCACGTGTACATGGATCAAAGAGACTAACCAGATCATCAAAGATGTGGATTTTTGCTGTTTGGGCAACA